CAGCAAGGGCATATTGCAAGTATGAACTATGAAAAGAGTCACAAAGAAGGCACGGATTCAACAGAAGTAAAAGAGCTGCTAGAAAACATTGAGCTGCTAGAAAAGCAAGACTATCACTGGAACAGGCAATGCTGGCCAATGATGGAAGGTGCATAAGAACTGAACAACCTAGTACATCATTCTTCGAAGAATGAAAGGCGCTTCAAACCCTATTTTCATTCTTATGGGAGAAAATAATGAAATTTCATAAACCACCTCAAAATGTTGAACAAAAGGAGAGCAAACCAAGAATTCAATTGAATGTTAACCATGGTAGCTGTGACAGACTGACAGCCACAATTCAAGCTGCTATCACTACTCCACAAAAACATGATGCAACATGCCTTATGTCATGGTCAGACTGCATGCAAAGGACCTTCTCATTTAGTGCATAACACCATATAACCCCCATATCTCTTCCAACATGACCATTCAAATCCCCTCCCAAAAAATATACAATTATCCTACTGAATTTCTTGAACTAACCCATCCAATCTCCCCAAAATTTGATTTTTGTTGTTCCTCTAGGCCTATTTCGGGAGCCTATACACCTACAATCGAATAGTTCTTGTCCAATGACAAATTTTAGAAATACTATGCTATCATCTGTCTTTTAGCTCCATCTTCAACAGTATGCAGAAGTTATAAGTTCTGAAGTGAAGACCCAGATTAAGATTTTTGAAAAAGATCGAAACTTAGAGAGAATTCAAGACCCCCACAAACGAAAAACAATCAAAAAACCCAAATCACAGATTTACACTAAAACAAATAAAACAGAGTTACACTAAAACAAGATCAGATTTAAAGAAATGTCAAAATGCAGAGGGTAAATAAACTTCTTTTTACGAACCTTTGGCCTTTTTAATTAGGAGGAATCCCAGAATGCTACGACAATAGCCTGCATTTCATTTATTTATTGGATTAATACTCAACCATCTTAGTTCTTCTATGAAGATGACAAACCAACAAGTCTCAATCATACCTGTAAAGCAGTATCAGATGCAGCTTTAACACATCCACAGAGATTCAAAACTTTCAGCTTTCGGCAGAAGCTGGCAAGGTAAGCCAGGGCACTGTCACTGAAGGCTGAATAACCACTGATGTTCAGTTTTGTAAGATCACGGCAACCAAGGCCTACAGCATACAATGAACGATCAGTAAGCTTGAAACTTTTGCTGAGGTCCAGGATTTGCAGGTCATGACAGAAATAAATTTTCTTATGACTTTCGAGGCATCTACACTACTAAAGTAAAGGAGAAGATTCGGACATAGCAAGCGACATAAGGCATTCATATGGATCTTGAAGCCTAGATGTTTCGGTTCACCATCCTTGACACTCAATAGAGCATACAATACAACATTCAGTTGCTCCAAGGGGCAAGGATATAGGGAACACCGTCTACCTGAAGGAAACAACGTGAAGGTATCTATTCTCAAAACAAGAGTGAAGATCTGAATTTTCACCTCACTATCACAAGAGAAAGAATGGAGCTTCTACTCGAAGACTGAAGATCAGGTGTATAGTTTGTCACCCTTGTTACCCCATAGAGTATGCAACTCAACACTCAGCTACTCTAAAAGGTAATGATACAAGCGAATACATCTATCCAAGGGAAGCAACGTAGAAGCATCACACAAAGAGACAAAGAGAAGACCTGAACAAAATGTCTACGTCTTTACTTGCCTTTGGAAAAGCAACACGTTACTATTCCAAAGGACAAGTAAAGAGGGGCAGCTGTAGATACCCAATTTCGTCCGGGAAGCACAAAACAACAAGATAGGACGTCAAGGGTCCAAAAGCCCAAATTAGACATTTTAAGTGGCCCGGAACGGGCCGTTCCAAAATCGGAACGGGCCGTTCTCGATTTGGAACAGGCCGTTCCAAGGCTCCTAAAAAGCCTATAATTTGTAAACTGGAACGGGCCATTCCAATCTCCTACAAGTGGGCTTAATTTGTACCCCCAGA